GCACAAGTTTAACATGTTGTTGGGAATAGTCAGAGCTTGAAGTCTGCAGGAGTTTAAGTAGCAAAAGTATGTGAAATTAGGACACAAATTTGTGAGCTGCAAGTGTAAGGGTGGACTGGAAAACCCTGCTGTTGTTTTTAATGCTTTTAGAGTAATAGATTGCAACTGTTTTAACACTTGAAGCAATAAATCGAATCAAGGGGAGGGCGACCAGACTTTAAGAGGCATTGTCTCAGGGCATCTTGTGAGGAATCAAGTGGAAGGGAGAGTGGAGGTGAGTCTACCTGCCCAGAGTTGTGGTAGGTGAAGGCTCTTCCTGTCTTTAAACCGAGATAAACAAGGAGAAAGGATCAGCTTACCTGAGAAGTACCATCAGCCTAATGCAAGGCACCAAGGCCACTGTTCATTGTAGTGTAAACCCCACCTATTTAGGGGCATGCAAGAATGTTTTCTGCTGTCTACAGTGAGAGGGAGAAAGAAATGGGTGTGAATCATATTGAATCCATTCACTTTTTTTCTGGCTTTGTTTGCAGGGCTGTGCAGGAGCTCTCAAAGCAGTCGGTGCACATTCCCAAACAAACATCGAGTAACTCCTCCGGGACTTACTGTTTCCTCAACCAGTGTTTGGGTTTCATTTCATACCCATGTGTTTCCAAGAAAACCAGTCATGTTGCTGAAAGGATACAGAGGACTAACATTAACATAGATCATGTTTGGAGCTGTAAAAAAAAAGCAACAGACTGGCATGATTAGAAGTTCTTAGAAAGGGCAGCCTGCTGGACTCAGGGTAAAAAACCAAAAATATCAATGGCGTGTAGGTGAAACGATATGCCTGGGAGAGCTGGTGTGCTGGGGGATGTGTGAGGTGAATCACTACAGTGTCGAGGCCATTAATGAAAAAAATATATTAAAAATATAGGGGAAATTATATTAGCATATTGATATGCTAAATAAGAGGAGAGAGAGAGAGTGCAGGGAAAATTACTGTCAGTATGATCAAGTAGGCCAGAAAGAGTGGTTTGGCATACATGTTTGTTAAAAAAAAGAACAAAAAAACAAACTTTTTTAAAATATTGTTTACCATTGTTAATTGAAATTTAGTAAAACCAGCTCATCATCAAGAGCTTCAGAGCAGGTTTTAAAATACTGGATTGATGGATTCAAGAAAATTTGTTCAAGAAACTCCCAATTTAAGATATGGATTCAGTGCTACATTCTCTTTTTTCAGAGAGTGAGGTTTTTATTTTGATTATGAAATGAATGAGATTCTAAGGAGCCTCTGGATTTGAAATGGAGTCTATAGCCCTTTTTGCAAATAACAAGATAGCTCCTTCTCTTCATAGGCCAGAGCAGTAATTTTGGAATACTTGAAGTCTTCTGAAACATGGAGAGGAATTTAAGATTTTCTATGGAGTTATTTTTCATTGTTGTTCACTCAAAATTATGTATGGATATCGATTTGCTAGTTTTTTTATTACTGTTAAAAAACCACATGCCATATGCAGAACTCTCCATACATGAATAGTTTTAAAAAAATTAAGTCTTACCAATCTTAAAATGTTAAATGTATCATGCTGATGCTCAGATCCAGAACATTCTCATTATAGGTACTTTATTTTTTTTACAGCCAGCATCAGATATTAACAGCAAAATGTCTGTTGATGACAGAGGAGGTGCTAGCATCTTAGGGACATTTCTGTGATGTGTAATCTTAGTCTTCTGGATTGGAATTGGGTGAGTTAACCATGTTTTCATCAATGGAAATACTGCTGCAAGGCTTCAGTTGTAAACTCTCGCTAAGCTAATTGCATCTTCCCACCTTAACATGTAAGAATGTCATTCCCACAGCACAGCAAAAGGGATTACTGTTTATTTCCTGGTAATATTCTGATAACTGGTTGACTTGAACCACTTAGATGGTTCATTTCTTTGGAATTCAGTAGGTACTTGTAGGATGTAAGAATGCCTTGTCCAGTTAGAGCAGAAACTTCAGGCAAAGTACACTAGGTTAGCAAAATGAGCTAGACAGTAACCTTTTTTGTTTGTTAATGAAGTGAATGTTTCATCAGGCTACAGATGAATGTGTGCTCTAATTGTCTTGGCTGGGAGTGAGGAATTCTGGCCTATGTCATGTCTTTAAAAAAGTTACTTCAGCATTGTCATAAATTGATTGGAAATATTTTTTCCTCACATTACTCATGGGATGTCAACAAGTATGCAAATGTGAAAATTTAACATATGTCTGCTCGCTGCTTTTGCATGGTTTCTCACACCAGTTTAATGAGTAAAAACTGTCTTCTAAAATGTCACTTCAAACCCAAGTCCTTTATTGTCAAAGACCACCACTGTTACATTCCACCCAGATGTTAAATAGTTTATTCATTTGTTCATTTTACACATTTGAAATGTAGCCTTGTTTTTATCTTATTCTGGTCTGTCCTGTAGTTAAAGTTTGTGTATCTGGTATTTCCTCCTTGGGTTGTCTCTGATGCCTTTCCTCAGAGCATCAGTTTGCATTGATCCTTTTTGCTGCAACACTGTTAAACATTAGTATCTTTCTTTTGATCTCTGTGGTAAATGCATTTATTTCGGAATGAAGTATAACATTGTTGACTTCTGTGAAGACTTCCTGGCAGCATAATAACAGGGGAGGGACCAAAGATACAGATCTAATAAGACTCAAACAGGTTATTTTGTGTTGTGCCTCCAGTCTCACAGCTGTTCGTGGAAGGTGGTCCCGGCTTTCCTTTTTTCCTCCTGGCACAGGAGGCAGCCAGTCCCCTTGCTAGCGTGGGATTTACCACAGGTGGATCAACTTGGAAGCCTAAAACCCAGCATATTTATTGTTTTACTGAAATCTGTCATGTTTACCTCCCCCCCCCCCTTATTAAATACTGTTTCATTTCACTGCCAGTGTGTTTACCCCAAAAGGTAATAGGGCATATCAAAGAGTTGGAGATGTTACAGTTATCATAACGCTTACTTAGCACATTCCATATGTTTAAGTCAAAGTTTTAGGCCTGTCTTTTTTACAGTGTTAAAATATCTTGGATTTTTGGACCAGAGATGATGGGAACAGGGTAGGGGTGTTGGGCTGGGCTGGAGCTTTTCTGTGTTTCGCAGGTAACCTCCAGAGGCCTTGAGGTGAAAGTCACAAATCCCTCTGGGTATTACAGTCCTGTGCTGTCAGTTTGGGCATCGTGGTGCCGTATTTGCTAAAGCTTTCAATACATGGCAGACCTGTGGAGGTGGTGAAAACCCCTGCAATAAACTCCAGGGTTTTGTGCTGTTTTGCTTTCATTTGCGAGGCAGAAAGGATATGATCACACAAATCCTTTTATCTGGACTTCAGGCTTCATGCTTTGATAAGAAGAAAAAAGGGAGTTTTGTAAGACAAAGAGGTGCTTTAAAGCATTACTGGATATTCAGGATGTCTTGACTGTAGCAGAAAAGCGCTTCCACTCTGCCCGTTATGTCTGTCTTAGATTTCATCTACAAATATTTATTGCTTAAGATTTGGATGACAATCAAACTGTGAAGAATTGAGTCAATATCTAAGAGATCCTCTCTCCCCACGGTACTCAGAGTGCAAACTACAAGTCATGTTTGAATATATATATATTTAAGGAAAAAAGTACATTTTTGCTTTTGAAGTTGGACAGAGAGTGAAGTAATGTGTATGTATGTATTGCATGTACAAAGTATAAACAACAAACAAAAATAATTTTTATGGAATGCCTCTCCGAGATTTTAAAATTTCACACTTAGTAGGTCACTGCAATAAGTACTACTCTATCAGTGCCATGATGACAGTGGTCATTGCATGGGGTTTTGAACTGTAACAGGAAGACACATACTCTCCCTCTCTACTGTGCATAGTTAACTGCAAGTTTTCGAATATGATAACTAAGAATGTTTCAAATGAAAATAGCCATGTATCAGTAAGTGCATGCAAGTACATTTTACTTCTTAAAAGCAGTTTAGCTACTAAAGGGCACTCCCTCTCCCTCTTCTTCCTCTTCCTCCTCTTCCTCCTCATCTTCCTACCTTTCCCTTTTTCCCTTTTCCCTTTTCCTCCTGAAATGTTTTATAGATCGTTTCCAATCATTATTATTAAATCATTCTTTTACGCAACGGTTCATTTTGAAAGACTTAAGCGCACAGACAGATGGGAGCCCCTCTAGAGAATCAGAGGAATAGAAAGCATTGCTTCTTTGGTTTTCTAATTTAAATCTTGCCTGCATGGCCTGTATCAGTTGGATCTGGTTGCTGTTCCTGCTCCACCGTTCCTGGGCTGCTGCACAGACCTTCCCAGCCCAGGTTGTGCCGGTTGGTCGTTCAGGGAATGAGTCCTCTTACAGCAGTGAGATCCTTATTCCAGCTCTTTGTCTTTCCTTGGAGTTGTGTCTGGAAACGGCTCTCTGGGAAGCTCCTTTGGGAGCTGTAATAGTTGTTTGTAGTCTGAATGAATCTGAAAGCCTGTTTGCACTTCACTCGACAGGTGTGGTGGTACTGCATTGATGCTGGGATTGCTTTTCCTGATGTAGCCTGGGGTTTGTGTGTTCTTTGGATAAACACAGGCTATTTTTCAAGTGTGCTAACAGCTTGACACATTCCATGTGTGAAAAAATTTGCTCTGGAAAAATAATCAGTGTTGCTGCACGAATATCTTGTATTTACAGTAAGCATACTCGTAGAGAGCAGCAGTAGGTCAGCTGATAGTTCACTGGGCACTTGTCCAAATATCATTAAAAATGTTGACATTAAGTAATTTGGGGGTCTAATAATACTTAATTAACTACTATTTAAACACCTCTGGTCAGATTGACCTACATGTCTAGTTTAAAACTTCTGGTACAGGTGATAGATTTGACACGTTCAGTGGGCTGTGCAAGGTAGTGGGATGCACCTTGTGCAACTTGTGATAATCTTTTGTCTTTAAAGAAGAGGAACAAACAAATGCACAGCACTAAATATTGTCCTTTCTGTTTGTTTTTCAGATTAGCACTGTACGTATATGAATATCTGCTCCATGTAGGAGCACAGAAATCCGCCCAGACGTTTTTGTCAGAGGTACGTTTCCTTGCACGACTTCCCAGTGAGATAAACTTGATTGAGTCTAGGACAACAGCAGTGAGAATACCAGTTTGCCTCGACCAGCACAGGTTTCTCATTCTGTGGAAGCCAGTTTGCCGTGTTATTTTACATGACTTTGTGTAAATGCTTTTGCTGTGGTTTGTTATCCCATTCCATGCTGGGGAAAGATTAATCTATTTTCTCTAATAAATGTGCACTTTAGAGTCAATGGTACTCTCTTTTTATGACCTTTCAAATTACTATTGATATATCGAATTTTGAATGATGGGCCCTTCCAAAATACACCACCAATGTATTTTGAATTCTGCTGTCACACACTATCAGTTCTCCTCTTGAGCATCTCTCTGTGCCCTTACCATGCTTTTAACCACTTCAGTTCTTTTCATCTGTTGAATCACTGTTGCCTATAACCATTTAGATCCTGTTTTTTTAAACATTTTCAACTGCTAATGGAATTTTTACTTTTACACAATAGTTATTTTTTTCTCATAGTCTTTCAAAGGCTTTGTATGAATCTTTTGAAGGTTGAAGTAAATTATGTCTCCTTACCATTTTACATTTGACCTAGGATATAAATGTGTGCCAAATATATTGAGGTCTTTTGGATTTATTGTTGTTTTTAATCTTTCTTTGACAGGAATATTTAAGATAATAATAATAACAACAGTTGAATAGTGAGCAGAAGTCATGAAAAAATAGGCAAGATGATGTACTAGGAAAATTTGCTGATTCAGCTGATCCTCCTCGAAAAACTAATAAAATTACTATGCTGGTGCTGACATTTTGGAAGTTGAAGAGGGGAGGATGAGAATCCAGAGCATTGTTTGTGATGCTTATACAAAATTCATGTAGCAGAGAGAAGGAAAAGGGGTAGAATTGTGGTAGTATCAGTTTGAGTTTATCATGGCTAGGCTTCGCGAACGAAGATTTGGGAAGGCTCTATCCACATTTGTTACATGCACGGTGGTGGCTTATGAGGCCAATACGAGACAGACATATCCGATTGCAAAAGGCACAGCAGAAAGACTCCTTAGGTGGAATATTCTGCAAGACATGACTCTTTCTGCTTTGTCTTTTCTCCTCAAGGGTGATCCTGTGTGCTTTCTCAAAGGCATCAGCAGCGTTATAGATGGTGTGTCTCCAGACCTCCCGATTGGAGGCCAGAGTAGACCAGTTATGTTGGTCAATATGGCCAAGGCTGAGATGTTGTTTCAGGGAGTCCTTGTATCTTCTCTTTGGGGCTCCTCTCTTGCGGCATCCAGTGGCAAGTTCACCATAAAGCAAGTTTGAGTTTATAATAAAGTATATTTTTGACAATTTTTTTTCTCTTCGGTAAAGCAGTGGAAAAATAAGAGAGAAAATAATGTATCATTTTGGCTTTCCCAAAACAGCTGCCATTTGTAAATACTGCACTGCATAAGATAAATTTTGCTCATTTTGTTTTTATGATGTATTTGCAAAATGAGCACTTGGCAGAAGTGTAACTGGTATGACATTTGGATTTCTAGAAAACATTAAATACAGGGTCTTGAAACATAGCTTTTAAAACTAATTCAGTCTTGGCTTACAAAGAAACTCTCAGGTCTGAACAACATAATATGAGGATATAACAAATCTTTCAAATTAAAACTGGTACTATCGAAGAGTTAGCAAACGTGGGTCAGGGAAATTAATGGTGTATAGAGTTGGTGTGAGCTGTGAGTTTATTTACCTGACTAATTAGCAGTGCAGAAGGGTAAATATGGTGCTGACAATACTTATGAGTGGTTGTGTGGCTGTTGGGACTCAGTACCCTCTCTGCTCTGTCATTTTGGGTGGATTTCATTAAAGATCAAATGGTTCAGAGTAGCTCCAAAACTGAATGTATACAGCAGTCAGTAGTATGTATATATGTATAAATGGCAAAGGTTGGGAGCCCTTCCTTAAAGATCTACAAGGCAGTGTGGCTCAGAGTCATGAAACCAAATTAAAAGAAAATTTAAGTTGGATATCATGGAATCCACTCTGATACTGGATAACTTAGAGATAGTTGTCCTGAGTATCCCTATATTTTTGTAATGCTTTGTGTATACTTTGAATTGAATTATGTACATTTCCTTTGAAGATCTGATCCGTCTCCCATGTATTTTCTATCCTGGAAGTTAGATTCTAGCCTTGGAGGAATAATTCCATTAGCCTGGACCAGGTGGGTGGGCATTTCCCAGTTAATCATTCCTTGGCTATGAGTTTAACCGATACAGATGACAGTGAGGGATTTTTTTTGTAAGATTAATAATTCTTTGTAAGTCTCTGTGATCAGACTGACATCTGCCATGTGAGGCAAGTGTGTAAATATTTTGAAAAAACAAAACAAAAATCCTTGAAAAGAGCCCCAAACTTCCACATTCCCTTCAGGCTTCTTCTCCAGTTGAATTTCTGAAGGTGAAATATGGCCTAGGACATAAGAGGAATTGGGTAATTTCCTCACTAAGCCCTGCTTTGAAGAGCACAAATACGGCTTAGACATAGGGAGGGTGTCCTGCAGACAAAATTTTTACTCTTCACTGATTGATTTTTCAACTTCAGAACCCCCTTTTCCCTTTGATTGTGCAGTGCATCTCTTCATGATGTTATTTTGGAACTTCTCAGAGATACTGTGCATTCCAGATTATTAATATAAGTCTTTCCAAACGATTCCCAGTGCACATGAGGAGCAGTCATGCCTTAGAGAAGTGTTTTTGAAGAATGTGTAATACCTTTGTAGTGGCTTTGGCCTTTATCTTAAATTTTTATTATTTTTTTCAGCCAGTAGTTAAGCAGGAGCTTTTTGAATTATGTTTTTTATATATTAGCTGCTGACATGTGTGAGGAGTATTGGTTCATTCTGCCACCTTACCAAAACAAGTGGTAGTGCCTCAAGGTTATCTTTTAAAAACAATTTAAAACAGCAAAATTGTTTTTGAATAGTTTTATTCATGTAATATATCAAAATTACATTGGGTTTCTTCATGTAAGTGTGAGATTTTCTATATGGATTTTCATATGAGTGCCAACAATATTTTTAGGTGTATGAACAACATGTTGTTCTACAATCTATTGACAGAATTTGTATATGTTTAAATTTCTGAAGAAATCAAATCAAAGTTGAGAATCAAAGTTTTAATCTCCTTTGGAAAGTTATAATATTAAGCTTTTATGTACTTTCACATATATGTATCTTTAAATATCTATCATATTAAGGCTGTTTAAGCATTTAATTAAAATAACCCTCCTTTTGTCTGCCATTACTTCTGTCCCTAGAGAAGAATATGGTTTGTTTTTTTAACTTTTTTTTTTTTTTTTAACAAAATTGGACAGGAAATAATGCTGTGTGTTCTTGTAACTGGAGGAATTTGGAGTGCACACAGTGCCCCAGTTTCCACCCAGTTCTGACAGACATTCTTCTGGACAGTGCTACGTGGGCTGTGTTACAGCACAAACTACTTAATTTTGGATTTGAGGACAAGTTAATGACTGGCATTAATAAGATTGTTATATTATTATAGTTTAGATATAGTATTTGGGAAGTATTGCAGAACACAGTCACTGTGATTTATGTTGTCTGATGGGTTCACTGATCAACAGCAGAAGTGTGAAGTCAAGAGTTCTTAAACTGCATTTCCTTTGAAGACAGTGCTAAACAAACCAGGTTTCCTGGGTGGGAATGAAGTCACAACCAGTATAGGCATTCAGGAGAGCTTGCCAGCACAGAAAACCAAGCCAAAAGAGCTTTACATTTTCTCTTGAATGGTGGGAGCCTGGGTTATAACTGTGATGCTGCTTGTAATTTCCACATTGCCTCTGACTAAAGCACTCCTTGAGGATTATAAAACACTGGCTGGCTGTGGCTGTGGGGGGAACACTGCCACCTGCTGAATCCATAACACGGGTTCTGTGCAAATTGCAAAATATTCGAGATTTTAAGGGTACGTTACAATCAGGTTTTTTTTTGGTCATGCGTTTCTTACCTTAAAATAACACACATTGTATTCAGAAACCCCTTCCCCCCCCAAAAAAAAATCTAAAATATGCTTCCCTAGCATGAAAAAAGCTCAATTTCAAGTATCAGCTATATCTATAGGTGTTATAAAGTAATATGACCATCCAGATTGATGATCATAAAGCCTTTCATAACTGTGAAATCTTGTTTATCCTTTTGATACTTGAATTATGTAGTGCCTTTTAGTCACAGTGATCACAAAAATGTACACCTCTGTTTTTATTGTTTTATTTTAGATAAGATGGGAAAAAAACATCACACTGGGGGAACCCCCAGGATTCTTGCATTCTTGGTGGTGGTAAGTACCAATTTTCTTCTCCTCTGATGTTTTAGGATATGTTGAATGCTGGTTCCAGCAACTGGAGGCAAGAAATTCAGGTGAACATAGTAAAAGGAATGGGAGGATGAGAATTAAGAACCATTTTCTTGTTAAGGAATGAAATAACAGAGAATTAGATATAGAGAAAGATACTGATATTAGATACAGAAAAAAAGAAATACTGCCTGTGTACTGTTAAAAAAGCATTTTCTGGAGAGAGTGACCTGCATTTCTTTCTTCACCTTCCAGAAAATTTTGCAATTCAAAATTAGTCTGCTTATCCTAAATAATTGCATTTGGGAAAAAAAAACCAATATACAGAGCCTCTGTGTGGGTGTGAACTTTCTCAGCCTACAGTCCACAGTTGTGTGTGTAGAATTCTCACAGTCACTGCTGTATAGCCATGGCATTTATTCATTGTCACATTTGAATATATCCAATATGCTTGTGTTTGAAAGAATACAAAATTGCAGAGAACATGTCCAGCTGTCAGCAGTACAGGAATTTACAAGTTTTAAAATGGTCCCATTTGAACCCAACTGATCTGTACAGTTGCATGGAAGGTGGCATAATTTTCACTGACCATTCTTTCATAGCTTCAACTGTGTGATGGCAGCCTAGCAAGAAGAATGTGTCCTTTTTATCTCTCATTTCTGTGTTATCTCTAATTTTGATGGTCTGCAGTTTAGTACTCAAATTGTCCACAAGGCCTTGGACTAAGTTATAAAGGATTATAACTTTATAGGATTACAAAGCGGGTGCTGGACTAAGGTATAAAGCGTTAAGTCTAATGACAAATTTTATTATTTTAATCATTCTAACACGCATACAGTTTCATTCCAGAAACTTTGTGTTATATCTGATTTGTGTATAACTCTGAAGAGGTTTGGGGGGAAGACCAATGGGAGTAGGTACCTTAGTTTCCTTTCTTTACGACCCAAGAACATGCCCATCTATTTTCTACACCACAAAATGGTCCATACACCAGATTCTGTGGGAACTTTTGTTTAGGGACAGTATTGGACATTTGCCCAGAGAAGCTGTGGCTGCCTCATCCTTGGAAGTGTCCAAGGCCAGGTTGGATTGGGCTTGGAGCAACCTGGGATAGTGGAAGGTGTCCCTCATGGCATGGGGTGGGACTGGATGGACTTTAAAGTCCCTTCCAACCCAAACCATTCTGGGATTCTGTGAACCTTGACATTGGAAGGACTCCCGTCTCTCTCTCCAGTTTCTTTCCTTTCCATGTTATTACAAATCCATCTTTGTGGAGGTTAATTGGAGCAGTTGCCAGAGGGATGAGGTTAAATACAAACTAATACACATTATACTCTTAAGCCATATGTATTGGCCTACATTTTTGGTCTGTACTACAGTGGTATTAAAGAAGAGCACTGCTTGCCTCAGAGATCAGACAGCAGGACTTGATTCCTCACAGGTGTTTTACAAAGCTAAATTCTTCCTCAGAGGTGTTTTCATCCCTTGGAGGGAAAGTAATGTGTCTGTTTCTACACAGGGACATGCACGTGGGGGAGGTGTGTACACCATAGAATCTACATGAGCATTACAGTGACGTTGTCACCCTCTCTGTAACTTCTTGCAGTGTATTTTGGGATCTCTACTGTGCAGCTCCAGAAAGACGAGAAACATGTGAACACTCAAGTGAAGCAAAAGCCTTCCATGACTATGTAAGTTTTGTGTCTTTACCACATTTTTTTAGTTGCATGTGATAAAATGTGATGGAGCACAACACGAGTAACTCCTGGAAGCCATCTCAGAGATCAAGATGCTGTCCCAGGTGTTAATGCAGAATAAAGAATATCCTTCTGTACATGGACACATCAGGCTGGTCACAAAGGCAAATGGAAGCATGGATGTGACCTGTCCAAATACCCAATTAGCTCCGCCAGTGCTAAAGAAAAGGCTGTTCAGCAGTTAGAATTGATCCCCTGGCTTCTGCCAGGACCCCACAGCCTGAGAGTGTGGTTGTTCAGATATTTTTGTATCCTGGAGTAAGTCTTTCTCATCCTAATAAACAATTTAGCATCACGGAATTTGTTAAATGCAAAATCATCTGGTCCAAGAGAACGGGAGTATTAAAGGGCAGAAGTTTTATGCCGGTTTTGCTGCCTTTGAGACTTAGTTCAAAACACAGCAGGAATTTCAGTGGTGTTTTGAGGGAGAATAATTCCCACAGTGCAACTGTGAAACCTCTCTCCTTGAGTCTTTACCAGATCTGTCTTAGAAGTACTGTCTAGTTACTGCTGAAATACATTTCTGCAGATAAAATTGAAAACCAACTGCCACAACCCAATGTCTTACAAACACAGATTTGCAACAACAGGAATGAATCAGCTAAGTGACCATTTTCTGTTGTAATGGCTTGGTATCTTACAGTATGTGAGCTAATGGTGATCTTGCCTTCTCTGTAGTAAACAACAGCTTATATTGTAAATGCATGACAGGTAGATCTGTTCAGCATATTTTACCAATGCCTCTTCAACACCCTGTACTTGGTTAAATTTTGAGGGTAACTGGTAAAGGAGCTTGAACAATGTTGCACAGTCAGATCTGGGCTACATTGATCACTAGACATAATTAATGGGGAAAAAAAGGTATCAGAGAGAGGAACAAAGTTTCAAGAAAGTTTTGCGCCCACAGAGATGTTAAGGTCAGCCAGTTTAGTGAAACACATTCCTCAAATTGGAAATGAAGTAACTCTTGCAAGTACAATTGCTGTAATAATTTTTACTTGATCTGTTTCAAATATAAAGTTATTGGAAAAGTAAAATATTTAGCAGTATATTTTCAATCCTTGTTTCATTCCCTACAAGGAGCAATAATTTTACAGGAATACTTTAAAACTCTGGGAAAATGACAGTAGAGATTTAAATTTGGGAAGATCAGAATCCACAGCGCAACAGTTCACTTGAATGGGGGACATTGTGCTCTCAAAAGATACTTTTTTAAACAAAAGCCAAAAATCCAAAACCTGTAAATGTTATGAAACAATTGTGAAACGGAATGATCAACAAGAAAAAATTTTCATTGAGAAAGTACTTGGAAGTCTAAAGAGGAGGGGAGTACACAAATCTTTAAACTCACAAGACTTTCACTGATCAGTAAGTTCACTATTGAATCTAAATTTTGAGGTATACTAAGCTTTTGAGTAAGTGAATCAAAATAGTGTAAAATTTAAAAAAGTTGTCTTATTGCCACCCTTTATGGTTTCTAACTTATACAGATCTTGGACTATTACATGGCTTTACTGCTCAGTTCTGTTGCATTATGATGTGTATTATCATGGTTCAAGAGGAGTGAGAAAATACGAGTTCTGTGTGTGATACAATTTCGAGATTGTCTGAATGTTTATGTTACTGTATAAATTCATGCTTGGTGAAGAAAAGATAAAATCATGGCATGATTCTATATGCACATCCGGACAGGATGTGTGCTTATTTTAGATACAATTCAGTTTATTTCGGAAGTTGACTCACCAATTATTTCTAAAACCCGTTCTCTCAATCTTTTGGGTGGTAGGAAAAGCTTTGCATTATTTTTGTCACAATTGAGATAAACTCATTTAACACCTTGCAAGACTCTTGGTGTTCCTAAGCATCACCTGTTTTTTGCTTAGCAGGACAGTCTGCATCATGATATTTGTGTCCAGTATTTTATGAGTGTGTTGTATACTCATGTTAAAGAACATAAAAAATCATTATAAAATATGACCAAACAAATTTCACAGCAGAGGAAGATGAACATTTATTAAGTGCAATCCTGACCCATGTAGTGTTTTGCCACTGACTTCAGAGGGGTCAAAACTCCACCATCAGTTAAGATCCATCAGGAAGCTGCTTGTCGGATTCAGACTTCTCCACGAGGCCAAGGGTCTGGTAAATCAAAACCCTGCTAGTCACGTTGCAGGTCAAGTAGAGCATTTGTAGTGGTGCTGTCATATCTGAAGGCTGTAATTGTAAGTACAAAACAGCACAAAACGCTCGTTTATTAATTCATATGAGCAATTCAGAATTTTTTATTAGGCATGCGTTCCACTTGAGCTAAGAAAAATCGTTCCTGCTGAAGGAGTGTGTGGTCTGGGTACACCAGACATGTCATCTCTAGCACTGAGTGGGCTGTGTTAGCTGAGGGAATGATCTTGTCTGTCTTTGCTTTTGTGGAGAGAGAAAGGTTTGAGGATGTTTGATGGAGGAGGAAATCACTTGTGGATGACTTAATGGTTTGTGAAATACTGCTGCCTCCGAGTCAGTCAGGAACACACAGGTTGACTCATAGAATGAATATACACAAAAATGTAGTTTCTTTAAGTTTACTTTAAAGTTCTGCAGTATCTCAACTGCAATTGTAAAAATAATGCCTTTTGAGTTCTCCCTCTCCTTCTCAGACAGCACTTTGTTGCTTGCAGTGCTACAATGCTCATCTTACTGCAAATGCAATAAATAGAAAAGCAAAGGCCTATTCTGGCTTTATAAAGATTTTCTATGCTCATCCCGAGTTTAAGTATTTTCAGCTTCTCTGTATTTGAAGTGGATTATACGTTTATTTTCTATTGAGATTTGCTGTTGGGTATATTTTGTTCTGAGTGAACAAGTTTCTGAACCCATTACGTACATTTATGAAATCTCTTTTAGACTTGAAAAGAGGGATGCTTGGATAGGTTCTGCCTGGAAGTTTTAACATATATGGCATAGAATTGGAAATGGTTTACGTTTCAGGTAACTCAGGAATGGAAGCTGGTGCTTGCACACCCAGCTTCTAAATATTGCATGTGTTTCAGTAGGAGTAGCTTTATTTGGAGCAGAAAAATCCCCGTGATTATTTTCCAGGTACCTGTTACTTTTCCTGGAGGAAAACTTCTCTGTGCTTCGAAGTCTTGTGAAAAATTACATACATTGATGCTCTGAGGCAGAATTTAGTCTTTGTGGAAGAGTTGGTTTGTCTTTCTTCACAGTATCCCAAGGAGATCTCATCATCTTTCTAGTTCAGAGCTTGTTTTTCCAAGTTTTGAGATCTTATAATGAGAGAAGAGAGTTCCAATGTGCATCTTCTTCCACTTCTTCCCAAGCTGAAGACTGAGGGAAAAGGGGAAATAAAACATAAACTGGATTTTTAGCAGCACCTCTACTTCAGAAAACCACAAATGACTATCCTCCTCTTCCTCAAGCTCCTCTTCCTCAGGCCTCGCCACTTATTCACATCTCTGGACCCTCGGTTTGAAGGAGTAGTACCTGAAAAGTCCTTTATTGCAAGATGATTTCTGTACATAACAGATAAGGTATTTTTACTGTTGAGAAGTTCCCGTGCCTCTCTCACCCTCTTGGCAATCAAATTTTTTTCTGTGTGGCATTGGTGCAAAGAAGGTATTTACTATTTCTCACAAGTAGCTATAGTCAAATCTTGATTATTTTCCAGGTAGGGTTTTTACTGGTGTCTTCTCCACAGCTCCTTGAAAGACCACTCTTGGTATGAGCAAGGATCTCTTGTTTGTGTTTATTTCTCCCAAAAGACTTCCAGGTCATTTACAAGATAAGAAAAAAGAGACATTCATTGCCCCAGCGACTGTCCAGTCTCATGAGCTGGTACCACATTTCCGTCTGACTTGTTAGCACAGTTTATGGTGAGCTGTGTGACATACAGCTTGGTTTGTGTGAAGGTTGTAGAGTGTATCAAAGACGATGCTATAATCAGTTCTGTCCAGATTATTCCTTTTAAAGGTTGTAACTATATAAATCAATCTTTTCTAGAAGTTACTGAGGGTAATGTTTGGACACTTGAGATGGCTGATCAGTCTGTGAGATTTTCTTCAGGAAAATTGGGTCCCTGCATTTATTGCTATGTTTTATGGGGAGAAAAATGACCACTTTCTTCCCTGGATTCATCTTCCTTCGGCTGATCTAAAAAGCACTTGCATTCCCTAAATGCCCCAACCCCCCTTAATTAGTCATTATCAGTACTCAGATTTGAGGGGTTATGAATATTTTTATGTCTGTTTTGGACTAAAGATTACCATGAAAAGCCTATGTGACTATTTTCCCACAAGGACTGTTCTTTTTCTAATTTCTTTCAGCTGCTGTCTTCCCTCTCTGCCTTTTGTATGGGGATGGAAGAACTTGCTTTCGCTCTTGGTTTTCTTACCTTCCCCATCTCCTGCTACTCTGTCCTTCTGCAGGCAGCCTAGTTAGGGCAACTTCTGAGTCCTCACAGGTTTCTTGATGAAAATTGAATTCCAGATCTGGTTTCCAGCTGCCAGTTTCTGTGGAGAATGCATATTAAACTCCTTCTGCTTAAAACAGAAATAAAAAAAATAAATCTCTGCTTTGCTCAGGACTGTTGTACCAAAATCAATGCTGCTGGCCTGAGTTACTTATTAATTCCATACCTGAGTTCCACAGAGATGTGCAAGGCCCTTTACATATTTAGTGATCATCACTAAATCTGTAAAATCACCTTCAGAATATGTTCTTTCAACATATGATTCATCCTGCTATGTAGATATTACCTGTGTCCGTGTAGACAGCGGATTATTTCTTAAAACTAGAAGAAATTAAGTGGCCATGGTATTCTTTTTGTAAGTAATATGAAAATGAAAAACATTTCCTTCTACACATTCATTGTCAAAATAATATCCTTTGGTTTTTGTGTAAATAGCATTCATTTTTAAATAAAA